GCACGGACGACGACACGGACGACGACACGGACGATGTGGACCCGTCGCTGGTCGCCTTGAGCGGACGGTGCGTCGCCCATCCCATGTATAATTACGCAAGTCTGCGCGCGATCATTGATGCGATCACACTGGACGAGTTTCCCGGTTTTCCAGAGACCAAGGCGTGCTGTTACGCGGCGCTGGACGAGTTTGAGCGCGAAGCCACGACCGATCAGAAGCATCCTTGGCGCTTTAACGACTAAGAGCATCTCCAACGCGGCGCCGCTATAGCTAATCTATAACTGTCACGCTTGTTATTGCATGTCGCATGGTGTTATAGCGGTGAAAATGTGGTCCACCGCACCGCTATAGTTATGGCTATCGCTAAAAAATCGAGGTCTGCCGCTATAGGAGGCCTCTATAGCGGTGAAGTTATGCTGCCGCTATAGAGCGTAGACGAGGCAGAAAAGGTAACAGCCAATCGAAACGTCCCGTGGCAGTTTCCCGCGAGGACGAAGCATGGGTCATGGGCGCGCGCACGGGCAGAGGCGGTCCGAGGACGAGAACAGGCGACTTGCACGGGCGCTGGCCCATGTGAGCCCTTCGTCGGTCGTCGATACTCAACATCTAAGCCTCAATCCGCCGCGGTCGCGCGTAGCTTGGATGTTGCTTGCCAACACTCTAGGCCTAGCGCTGCGCATACATGTATACGTAGGTGGATGTCGTCGTCCATCGGCAGCGCCAGCACTCTTTGCCCCTCCCGGCGCCCGCGCTTCTCCTGCCTGCTCTTCCAGTCCTCACTCTTTCAGCCACGCTCCTCCGAGCGGCCTTCGCTTCTCTCGATCATGCGCCGAGCGTTCTCTTCCGTGCGCTGCGTTTTTCACTCCCGCTCTAAGCGGCCTGGTGGGCGCTGTCAGCCAATCCGTAGCGATAGCGATAGCTATAGATTCAACTCCCATTGGAGCACATCGTTTAGCACACCGCTAAAATATGAGAAAGGTCGGTTATAACGCGTTTAGCTATAGCTATAGCGGTGGCGCGTTGGAGATGCTCTAATGGCACATGTAATTGTACTCGCTAGTTGTCTTTGGTGTGGATAGGGCTCGCCAAAACCTCTTCTGGAGGTTACTCCAGCCTTTTTTATGCCGCGCCATCGAACGCGTACCATTTGCTCCTCGCACGCTTGTCAGCTTTCACTTGAAGCCGTGGAAACCCTTGAGATTACATCGACCACAACCGAGTTATCCAAGATCCTGTGATCTCCACGCCTATAGTGTGAGACCAAAGCGAGTCGAGGCCAAGCAAGACCCATCGAATCAATTGCGGTACATTATTATGAACGTGTTCCGCGTTATCTTCATTATGACACAAAGACTTCGCATACGTAGCGCTACGCCTGAATGCGTGGGAGTTGGCTCCAGCGCTTGGTCGTTGGGAGTGAGCTGCGTACGGAGCGGTACATGCACTACTAATACAGTGGTGCACGACACCATCCGAGAAATCATTTTTAATCTAGCATATTGAGAAAATCATTATGTAATCTAGCATATTGTGCGTTCTGGTGCAGTGGGGTTAGGGTTGGACGTCAGACAGTGTGGGACTATTTTGGCGCGCAAAATCTTTGCGATCTTGATGTCCATCTGGTGACATATTATTTGATAGAGGTTTTGACATGAAACCATTTAAATATGGCGTGTACAACTGCGAAACGACAGAGTTTTTTTTATTTTGACAGCGAAATAAAGATGCAATACGAAGGGTATTCGGTTTTGAGAGGAATCTGCCGATCCCACGGCAAGCGGCAGTTTCCAAGTTGCAGCCGATCACGATGCTCTCGACCCTCGCGCGGACGACGCGCCTCCGCCCGCTCCTTGGGCGCTGCCTCTCGACCAAGCCTCCCAAGACGCTCATGATCGCATACGCTACTGCGCAACGCTTCCAGCTCGAAGACGACGCGTCGATCGTCGACGTGCCGACGATGCTCGAGCGCAAGCTCGGGTACGTGCCCGTCGTCCACTGCATCCGCGACGCGACCGGCGACACGTTTCAGCGGCCGTTGGCGAAGGACACGGTCGAGATCTTCTTCGACTGCGGGAACAGCGACGGCGACGCTCCCAAGGAGACCGAGCTCAACGAGATTGCCGTGACGATTTCGAAGCTGCAGCAAGCTGTCAAAGACGCCAACGCCCGCACCGACGTTGCCAACGCCCGTACTGACGTCGCCAACGCCCGCGCCGATATATTCAAGACGCTTGCCGCCAACTACAAGGCGCTTGTCGTCGTCGGGGAAGCGCAGAACAAGACGTTGAAAGCCGACAACTTCAAGTTCAAGCGCGAGCGCGAGCTCGATGAGCTCGGGGAGTTTGTCGCCAAGTTTCGCACTTTTCGCAAGCAGAAACGCCAGGGTGGCAAGCCCTCGAAGCTCAAGATGCGCCGCACGAGCAACTCAGACATCGACCCGTCACTGGCTGCCGTGAACGACCAGCGGAACGCTCGCGCCCATCCGGTGTACAGCTACGCAAGCCTGCGCGCGATCATTGATGCGATCACACTGGACGAGTTTCCCGACTTCCCCGAGACCAAGGCGAGCTGCGACGCGGCGCTGGAAGAGTTTGAGCGTGAAGCCACGACCGATCAGAAGCATCCTTGGCGCTTTAACGACTAATGGCCTATTTATTTTGCATTCATTTCCTGGCTTTCGTCTCGACAGGATACGAGTCGCCCGTAGCTCGACCTCTCAAGGCCTCATTCGTGTCACGCAAGTAGACGTCGCAGCTTTACCAATGATCTCCGATTACGGTGGTCCATCCCACCATGTAGTGCAAGTAGCGAGATGCACACTCCTGCAACGCCCTCCCAAGAAGACCACCGAATGCATAGTAAGAATCAAAGCGCAGCTGTGGGCATCCGACTCGTTATCTTTAATACGAGGTCGTACTGTAGTTGACGGCTTGGCCAGCGACCAAAGGCGGTTCGACGCGCGTTGCTGTTTGCCGGCGGGCGTCGATCCACTCCCTAATCACCAACACAAGTTGTCATCTTTTCAACGACGTCGCCAAAGTCGTCGTACCACACGAGCACTTGCTGGCCACGGTGCCTAGTTTCATACAACATCGTCATTAGCCATCATTTTTGTTGGTTTCAGAACGCACATGACGTGGCGCTCGCGCACGCGAGCATCGCGCTGGACGTGTGCCACAATGCTCGTCCAGAGACGCGTGGCTTCGCGCGAGTCGGTGGCGTGGGGGAAGAAGCGCTCGAGAATCTCGCGGCGCAAGCCGTCGACGGCGCCATCGAGCACATTGTCGCTCTCCTCGAGGCGCCGGAGTTCGCCGTGCACCGCTTGCAGCATCTTGGTAAACTACATCACGCAACGGTACAGAGCCGGGTCGTCACGACGCGTTCTACCAGAAGCTTGCGGAACTTGCTCTGCTGGACCTGGCTGTAGAGGTAGAGTGCGCCGAGCGCACCAAAGAAGGTCGATGCGTAGATCTAGAAGGTCGAGATACACCTATCAAGTCGAGAAAACGCGCGTCGTACGTAGAGGTGCTCGTGCAGCTCCAACACAGTCCAGCAGAGGGCGCTGGCGTCAAGGACCGTCAATGCGACTTGCCCGTCGTCTTGAAAGTACCGCGTGCTGCTCTGCGCCGCGAGTTGCGCCGCCGCCTTTGTGTACGCTGCGACAAACGCCACGTCGCTGCTCTTTTCCCTATTGTATATCTATCAACACAAGCTCCTCTATCAACGAATCGAGACCAGTTGGCTTGGGTGCGGAGGTAGCCGAGCTGCTCGGTCGCACTGACAACAATCTGCTGCGAGCTGTCGCTGTTGTCGTTGCCAAAGAGCAGGAGCTCGACCCACGACCCGTTGCAGAACGCTGACGACGCGCGGCGAATGAGAAAGCTGTCGAGGAGCTCGGCCATCAAGTGGGCGTCTTGGCGCACCTGGTCCGACTCGACGCAGCGCCGTTCGACGAGGACGTACGGCTCGCGGCACGAGTGCAGTTGGCCGCTGTGGCAGTGGCCAAACTCGGGGCACCGGTGGCAGTGCAGTGACGGCAGCGACGACATGTCGTCTGCACTTTCCGAGTCGCACATGGGCATCGCGTCCATGTACGCCATCGTCAAGAGGAGGCTGGCCGTGATGGCCATCGCGGCCAGGACGAGCAAAATGACCCACTGCGGGTACGAGTACCCTCGCGGCAACGACTCGACCTTGAGGTACGTGGGGCGGTGACGCTTGGACGAAGAAGTGGGCTCGTTGGTCGACGGCGTCGATGGTGTCGATGGCGGCTTGGATGGCGTGGCCGCCGGTCTCGATGGTGCAGTTGCCGGTGTCCGCGGCGTGTCAACAGACGACAGTGGTGTTTGCGTCGCAGCGGAGGGGCGGCGAGGCGTGGCCGGACGATGATGCGTCGGCGGGAATGGCCGCGTCGGCGTTGGCAGTGACTGGCGGGCGGGTGTGTTTGGGACGAGGCGACGGCTGAGCGGTGGCAGCGAGTTATCGTCATCGTCGTCCTCGCTGTCGTCATCGAGGACCGAGCGAGGTCGCCGCGCCTTGACGCCCGAGTGGGTAAACAGCACGGTCTTGATCTCGTCCCCTTCGACGTACTTGGATTTCGACTTGAGCTTCCACGGCTCGGACGTGCTCTCGGTCGGCGACTGCAGCGCCTTCGTGGGCGTTGTAAGGTCAAACCGCGACGGCGTGGTCTCGATGGGCGTCGAGAAGCGCCGCGACGGCGTCGCGAGCGACGAGCCAGGCGCTTTCACCGGCGTTGCGTACGCCTATGTACGTCCATCTGCCCTGTTCAACATGAATCGAATGGACGTACGACGTTGGGAAGCTTGCGCCCCGAGTTGTTGCTGTAGTAGCACGGAAACGAGCAGTACGCGGCGCCGATGGAAAAGGACTCGAGGTTCACGCCACGCGCGATCGCTGTGGCGCACGCGAGGTGGAGCTTGTTGTTGCAGACAACGCAGGTAGCGTCGACCTTGTCGTCGACCACGTTGCACAGCGCACACGCGCCCCACGCCTTGGTGCGCTTCATAGGCGTCGCAAGCTTTGGCATCTTGGACGGCGTCTCGGCCGCTTTGGCCGGCGTCGCCATTTGCTTGCGCTTGGGCGGGATCTGGAGCTTCTTCGCCGAGAGGGCCGGCGCCGGCGGGGCGCGTTTGGCGATCACCGACTCGACGCGCTGCGTCTGCGCGGCCTTGGCGGCCTCGCGGGCTTTGGCCAAGCTCGACGACATCGTCTGTGGGAGAGGCCGGAAACACGCAATACAAAACGATGGATTGGGCGGGCCGCCTTAAATATGGCGCATTTGCCATTTTTGCCACAATTACGGCCCAACGGCATGCCATTTTTGCCATTTTTACAGCTCGTTAAGATGGCGCGATGCCACATTTGCCACAATTAAAAGCCATTGCGTGCCATATTTTACGGCTCCACCAGCACTGTAAATGTGGCGTTTTTCCATATTTACCACATCTATCTGCCACTCCGCAGGCGTTTCGGCGGTGTGTCCTGGACGGACCTGCGAGTCGCCGCTAATTCGCACGCATAGGTATCTAGTAGCAGGGTTTGCGCCACTCTCCAAGGGCAGTCGTCAACGTATTTGTAGGGTAGAGCAAGCTGGTAAAGCAATCTGGCACTGTACAAGCAGCGTGCTCTTGACGCTTGGTGGTGAGGATGTGCAGCCCACTGCCACGAGCTTCAATCTCTCGCAGCTGCCATGTCCATGGCCTTGCCGTCACGGGCAAGCTGCTTCAGTACCTCTACCGCATGCCTTTCGTTCTCTCACGCCCCCTTCCGTACCTCTCGGCACCCCGTCCATGATACTTCCGCGCCTGCCGCCGCGGTACTCGATGCTGGAACTGTCCGGGCTCTTTATGGGTTCGATTTGCATTCTCCAGTGCTTGCGAATGGTTGGAGAAGCTCCAAGACGGCGCTTCAAGCATGTCGCACGCCCTCGGACTGCGCGACGCCGGCTACTGCTTCAATGAATCGTGCTTCAGATTTGACCCACCTCGTCGCCACCCGTATACAAACTTGCTATCACCCACTGGCACCAAGTGCCGCATGGATGACGGACACTGCGACAACCGTAGGACCTCATGCACCTTCATTATACAAACCCACTCTGTTCTGCTCCACGACGAGCCAAAACGCGGAAGAGGAGCTTCTGGCGTCGTTGCACAGCATAATATGTGACCTTCCACTGCCTTCACGTGAGCAATGCAGCCAAGGACGCAGGCAACCGCCCAATCAAACGCTGCGGCCACCTCCAACGGATCTTACTTGGCGCTCATTGGCGCCTGGCCACGTGCCCACGTCAAAGCGTCTCCAAGTTGCTTTGCAAAGCAGGCTGCACTTTCTGCGCGCTCGTCCGTCCGTCCATTTCAAGTGCACTTTCGCGAAGCGAGTACTGTAGGACTCTATAGCACCTTGTGTAACACGCTCCGATTTGGCTCGAGCCCTGGTTGCCGTGAAGCTCACTTTTGATTTCGCCGCTTGCGACGCATGTTGAAGCTCACTGCTACCGCTGCTGCTGTCGTCGGCCTCGCCCTCGGTGCGCCGGCGCCGACGCCCGGCCCGCCGCCGCGCGCCACGTCCAACGAAGCCATGTACGCTGACTTCAAGCCGTACTCGTCGCCGCTCGTCGTGCCGGACGTCCTCGACATGCGCAAGGGCGGGTCGCTCGACATGCAAATCGCTGAAACGACGCACACGTGGCAGGCTGGCGTGCCGGCCTCCGCCGCGTACGGTTACGGCAAGGTCGGTGGCAACATCACGACGCCGGGCCCGACGATCCTCGTCAAGCGCGGCGTGCCGATTGAAGTCACGTGGCGCAACGGCCTCGGCATGTCGACGCATTTGCTCGCCAAGTACATTGACAGCACCCTCCTCCACTCCGAGTCGGCGTGCTTCCCCAACTGCGGCATTCCGGTCTCGACGCATATCCACGGCCTCGAAACGCCGCCCAAGTACGACGGTCTCCCGCACTACTCGATCTACAAGAACCAGACGTACACGTCCACATACAACAACTCGCAGTCGAGCTCGACCAAGCTGTACCACGACCACGCGATCGGTCTCTCGCGCCTCAACATGTGGGCGGGTCTCACCGGCATGTACATCATCCGCGATGACGACGTCGAGAAGAAGTTTGGCTTTGATAAGATCGTGGTCGATGTCCCGCTCATGATCTCGGACCGCCTCTTTGATCCTGCCGGCAAGCTCATGTATACGAGCGTCGTGACGTGCCCCGTCGCAGGCTCGGTGTGGATGCCCGAGTCGTTTGGTGCTGTCAACACGGTCAACGGCGTCGTCCAGCCGTACCTGGAGGTGCCCGCGCAGCAAGTCCGCTTCCGCCTCGTGAACCTCGCCAACTCGCGCAACTACAACTTTACGCTTCCGTTCGCGTCCAAGTGCACGCAGATCGCGACGGATACCGGCTACGTCCAGGAGCCCAAGCCGATCGCGGTCAACGGGTTCAAGCTCTTCTCGCTCGAGCGTATCGAGATGGTGTGCGATTTCTCCGGTGTCGCCGTCGGCACGACGTTTGACATTGAAGACATTGACTCGGACTGCGACTCGTCGTACGACTATGACCCGAAGATCATGCAGATCCGCGTGACGGCGCCGACGAAGGACGCGGTCGCGGTGCCGATCCCGACGCACCTCAACAAGTACAAGGACCTCCAGGAGCTCTACAAGTCGACGAACGGCAAGCTCCGCACGATCACGCTCGGCGAGATGGAGTCGATGGAGCAGTGCCCGACGCAGCTCATGATCACGCAGTACCAGCAGGTCGCCAACGTCTCGATGGTCCACAACAAGCTCTTCTGCACGCGCGGCAAGGTCGAAAAGTGGCAGTTCAAGAACCCGACCGACGACGTCCACCCGTTCCATTGGCATCTTGTCAATGCGCAGTGCGGCCCGGACGACGACCACATCGACAAGAACGGCCTCAAGGACGTCGTGGTTATCCCGAACGCCGACCCGTCCGACCAGCTCGCAATCACCCAAGTGTGCTACGTCGCGTGCACGCCCGATGAGTTCTTGAAGGAAGGCAGTACGCGCGAGCCGACGGACTTTGGCTTTGACACCAAGGAGCCGTACCTCGCGCATTGCCACATCATGGAGCACGAAGACAACAGCATGATGGCGTGGTTCCAGCTCACGGACGTCGACGACGACCACGCGATCGACGACGGCAAGGTCGCGGGCGAGCCCGAAATTACCTCCATGGTCATCGGTACCGCGATTGGCATGAGTATCCTCGGTGGTATGGCGACGACACTGTCCGTCCTCGTGCTCTCGATCCCGCGCCTCAATTTCCTTGCCGGCGACAAGGCGCTCGCCATGACGTTCGCGCTCTCGGCCGGCGTCATGCTCTTTATCGCGCTCGTCGATCTCTTCCTCGAGTCGATCGAAAAGTTCAAGTCGGAGTTTGCCGTTGGCGGTGACGTCGACTTGGAGGCGATCGAGCACGGTCTTGCGCCGCCGGGTGCGGTCGCGCCGATCTGTGACAAGACGTGTGCCGGCCAGGCGTGGCTTGCGACGGTCGGCTGCTTCTACGGCGGTGTCCTTGTCATCGTCCTCGTCGAGTACCTCGTCCACAAGGTGTTTGACTACCATACCAAGGACCTCGGCGGCGCCGGCCCGGAAGCGCGCAACGTTTTGGCGGAAGATGCGCAGACGCCGATTGACGCTGACTTCCAGAAGCACGGCCACGGCCACAGCCACAGTATCATTGCTGAAGTCGACGAAGAAGGCGAGAAGAAGCAGGGCTACCGCCGCGCCGGTGTGCTCACGGGTATTGCCATCGCGATCCACAACTTTCCCGAAGGCCTCGCGCTCTTCGTGACGTCGCTCCAGGGCCTCAAGGCCGGCATTGTGCTCGCGGTCGGCATCATCTTGCACAACTTCCCGGAAGGTGTCGCGATTGCGGCGCCTGTCTACTATGCGACCAACAGCAAGAAGGAAGCGTTCTTCTGGACGGGCCTCAGTGGTATTGCGCAGCCGTGCGGTGCGCTCATCGGGTGGGCGACCGTCTCGGGCGGTGTCACGCCGCTTCTCTCGGGCATTCTGTACTCGATGGTGTCGGGCATGCTTGTCTGCATTACCGTCAAGGAGCTCCTGCCCGGCGCCTTCAAGTTTGGCGGCGCCAACTTTACCTTCTCGTTCATGGGCGGCGTCTTCATCATGGCCATCTCGCTCATCATGCTCCAGTACGTCGGCACGAGCTAAACCACGCGCCGCGCTTCGAGCTGTTTACACTCAATATAGATCTCCCTTTTGCATTTCAAACCGGTGTGTAGACCATTTGTCACAGACGAGTTGGCCGCCCCGTGGACAGGGTGTCGTCACGGATCGAGGCATAAAACAGCGTTGGAGGACAATATTGTCCACAACACATGGTCGAGAAACGACGGGTGTAGCCGGCTACGCAATTCGGAAGCGCGTAACTTTGGACAAGTTGTCAATCATAGTCGAATGCGCGGCAATGGGGGACCGGAACTCGTACGTTGGATGACTCCCGGTCGTAGAAGGTGGCAACTAGACTAACCGCAATTGTATAAGTATTCTTTAATCGAGCCTCCGCCCAGGCGTCCCGAGGGCCCGTCGCGACTTGCCGTTGCCATGACCGGAGCGCGACTCGGTGATCGACATCATGTCGTAGCGGTCGTCGCAGCTCGAATGCAAGAGGAGGTACTTCTCTCGCTTTCCGCGCCAATAGTCCATGAGCTCGAGGTCCAAAATCTCTTCGGCTAGCTGGCGGAGGACCTTGCGGTATTTCGGGTGCTTCCCACCCACGTCCTCGACCGCGCTCGCTCGGTCGTCCATAAAGTGGCTCGCAAACTCGCGCAAAACGACAAACGGCACGTCCACGGAGAGCACTTTGGCCGGCTCGTTGGTCTGCGACGGCAGCAAGAACGAGCTCAGCCACTTGGTCACATGCCGCTCGACGTTCATAACGTCCTGTCGCTGCCGCTGCTTGTCCTTGGTCACCTTCGTATCGACGACCTTGACCTCGAGCTTGACCGACATGGGTTTTTCCTTGACGCCAATGGCTTCGTCGTGGCTCGACGCGAATTGGTGCGACGCCGCAACCGAGAAGCTCCCGCTCCGGTAGCGCAGCCCGTTGCTCATCGCGTCCATCTTTTCAGCGAAAAAGTACGCGAGCGAACTGACGGGCATCGTCACGTCGCCATCGCCCGGGTTCTTGACGTTCCGGACACGCACGACGCGCTTCTCCTTGAGCAAGTGCTTGCGCACGATCACCATCCACTGCGCGCCAAGGGCCGCGCAGTGCTCCTCCAAGTCCTTGTGGTCCGGATGCCAAAACTCGGCCGAGACGCCGGCTTTCCAGAGCATGGCTGCGATTTGCATGCGCGCGAGGAGCGTGTCGCTGGGGCTGTCGGAACACACAAGGATGAGGGGCGTTGCATGGCGCCACGCGCCGTTGGTTGCCGACGGGTTGAGCACACTTGTGACGATGCGGTCGATCGAGAAGCGGACGCCGACCGCAGTCACCGCCGGCATTTGCACGCGCGCGGCGGGAAGGCGATAGCGCGCCACCATAGCATCGTAGCGCCCGCCTTCCGCGACGGTCTCGGGTGGGTGGTTGCTGTGCTCGTGGACGGCTTGAAACACAAGACCAGACGAAAACTGCTCTTGGCGCGGACTCAAGCCCAGGTCAAAGTGCACATTCATCGCTGGCAGCTCGAGCTCGATGCCTTGGAGCAGCTGCCGGAGAAAGCCCGCGCCTTCTTTTGCCTCCTTGATCGCCTTCTTGAGCTGGTTCTCGCGCTTCTGCTCTCGCTTGCTCAAGTTGGCCGTCTCGTGGATTACACGGTACCGCATGCCGTCGAGAAGCACCTCGATCGACTCGAGCGCCGCGAGCGGCTCCTTTGGGAGCTGGAAGAACGGTTGTAGGAACGCCGCTGCTTCGGCGGGCACGGACGCCTCCTTGAGCTTCTTGACCACACGGGGCGACGGGCGCGGCGACGCTTCTTGCGACAAGAGCTTGTAGACGTCGCGTCGGCACGCGTGCGGCACCTCGCACGCGTCAAGGATGCCCCGTGCGAGCCGTGCGTCGTTGATGCGGAGAAACCACGGACTCAGGCCGAGCGTCTCGAGTACCTCGTGGACAACGTGGAGCACTTCGATTTCCATGACGCGCGCAAAGCTGCGGTCGTCCCAGATCAAATCAAAGTCGGCTTCGAGAAGCTCGCGCGGGTGGCCGCCGCCGATGGTCTTGCGGTACACACGGCCGCAGTGGTAGCGCTTGAGCTGCGAGAGGCCGTTGCGCGCCACGTACCGCGCCAGGGGCTCGGTCAAGTCGAACGGGAGTACGACCGAGACGCCGGCCGTGTCGAGATAGCAGCACGCGTTCACGTGCAAGTTGCTGCTGAGGCGCTTGGGCATGAGCAGCGGGGGCACCTACATTTACTGTCGATTTTGCATTCCAACAGGAAAGACGATACTTACAAATTCAACAGCGCCGTGGCGCTCAAAGATGGTTTCGAGCGTCTTCTTGACGTCAGCGCGGCAGTGGCTCTCGAGGTACACGAGCGACGGCTTTGGTTTCCGTTGCTGCAGCACATCAAACGTGTAGTCGACGTGGTCGACGGGGTCTTGCACGAAGAGCGCTTGCATGAGCTGGCCAAAGAACGTGCCTTCGGGGTTGGCAAGCGTCTGAAGCGCCTCCTTGAGGTACTTTTCCTCGACTTCCATCTTGGGCGGCAAGAGGTTGCTCGTGAGGAGCTCGCCGGCCGTCGGGCGCGCCGTCGGGTTGCTCTGGCACAGCCAGTGGATGATCTGCTTGACGTTCGATGGCGCAACAAACGTACTCGGGAGCACGTTGCGTTCGCGCAGCTCAATCAGCGCCTCGGCGCGCTCCATGAGCGTCGTGAACGGCGGCGACCACATTTCAAAAAAGAGAATCCCGAGCGAAAACATGTCGGCCTTTTGGTTGTAGCGCTGGCCTTCCTTCTCCTGCTCGGGCGCGCGGTAGAACGCCGTGCCGACACCCGCCGTAATGTTGATGCTCTCGTAGTTGAGCGACACCTTGGACGAGACCGAGTCGGCGTCATCGTCGGAATCGATGGGCTGGTGCAACGAGTCGTACATGGGGATCTCGCGCAAATGGTCTTCGTCGAGCGACGGCGGCTGCATCGCATCGGCGTCCGGGCCATCTTCATCGACCTCGTCTTTCGGCGGCTTGGTCGCAAGACCAAAGTCTCCGAGCTTGACGGTCCCTTCCGCATCTAAAAAGATGTTTGGCGGCTACACAACACGCTGAGAGAAGGCTACGGCAGGCGAGAATCTACCTTGATGTCGCGGTGGATCACGCCTTGGCTGTGAATGTACACAATGGCTTCGAGAATCTGACGAAAGAGAGTCCAGACCTTGTCCTCGTCCTTGTAGAGCGACATGTGGTCAATGACCTCGCGCAGCGCCTTCCCGCCGCAGTACTCCATTTGGATGTACAGCTTCTCCTTGGTGGGTTTCCGCACCGGCGGCGTCTTCGTCTCACGGTGCTCGTCGACCGTCCACTCCCACTGGTCCGCGTACCGCGTCGTCGGGTCGTCGTCCCATGGCGCATCGCTCATCTCTTCTTCCGAGAACGACATGTGCTTCTTGAGCGACTTGCCTTTGGTCGACGTGGCCGTCGACTTTAAATACGTGCGCGACCGGTTGTTGCTGCCGCCGATAAAGTCATCATCGTCAAGGAGACCACTGCCCTCGTCGTCGTCGTCATCCGAGGACGAGTCTTCGTAATCGTCAGACCAGTCGTCGTCTTCGTCGTGTGAGACGTTGCCGGACGCTGCGTCGTTGTCGCCTTCGATCCACGCCTGAAAGTACCTAGACCGATAGCGCGTCAATACTCGTTGATACGAGAGGACACGCAGTAGACATACCGAACAATGTACCGGTGCTGGAGCCGCGAGATGGTTTTGACTTCGCGCAAGATCTTCTTCTTCATCGTCGGGTCGTTCGCGTCCAGCTTGATGCGCTTGACGGCGTACCACTGCCGGTCCAGGCGGTTCTGCACCCGAAGCACTTCGCCGCCACCGCCCCGGCCGAGGACCTTGTCTTCTTTAAAGTCGGAGAAGTACCGCGAGTGCGCAAGCCGCGCGCTCACCGCGTCGTCAAAGTCCCCGTCGTCGTCGGACGGGAGTGAGTCGTCATCTTCGTCCGAGAAGCCGCAGGACGACCCCGAGCCAGATGAGGACGATGCATCGTCGTCCCCTTCTTTTCGGTCGCGCGCGCGGTGCTTGCCGCGGATCGCAGCTTGCATCTTGAGGTATTCGTCTTGGATGATCTTCTGGAGCTGCTGTTCTTCCTTCATCGCTTTGGCCTGCTCGACCTCGAGCTGTATTCGCTGCTCTTCGGCTTCCTTCTTGGCGATCTGCTGCTGGCGCTTGACCATCTGCTCAAAGAACGACCGCTGGTCCTTGACGTGCTCAATGATGTACTCTTCGGCGGCAATGACGAGGTCGTGGATCATGACGCCTTCACCGACCTTCTCGCGGCTCGCCTTGCGCAATAATGTCTCGAGCTCGTCGACCTCCTTCTCCGTGAGGCCGTCCGCGTCCTCGAGAAAGAGGTCCGGTCCTTCCGTGAGCGGGTAGCCCTTGCGGAGCTCGACGGCCAAGGTCACGCCGGCCTCGCCCTTGATGCCGCCGCTGCTGAGCGTCAAGGACTCGGCGCCCTTCTTCGCGATGCGGATCGAGAAGGCCTTGAAGCCCTTGATCGACGTTCCCGGCGCGTACTCGTCGCCGTAGATGGCCTGGAGCACCTCCATCTCCTCGGCCTGGAGCTCGGCGCATGCTGCGGGCGCGTCTTCATGGACATGCGGAGGAGCGTCTACTTGCTGCTGCTGCTTCTTCCCTTTGCCGGCCTTCTTCCTCGCCATGCATGAACGCGGCCACTCCAAGATGGGCGGGCTTTTTCAGAACTAGCCGCGGGGACTTTGGGCTTGGATCCCGGAATTTTTCCGGAGTTTGCATTTACCACCCTCGGGAAGTCATACCGTGAGAAACACGTGTGTGAAACACGAGCGGGGAAAATGGCAGTAACATCGGCGCCCTGCCATACCTGCACGACCAGCATTCGGGCTAAGACACGCTCGCACGTACACAGAGCGTATCTGTGTGGAAACTGTCGTGGTGATATCGTCCCGATAAAGGCGACGCGTCCACGTCCGTACCACCACGTGTGTGCTAGAAGGTGAAAAAGACGTGGTAAATGGCGTGTGCCACACGTGAGTCACACGTGCTTGTGGTCGCCGCTGACGGCACCAGATGGCCACTCGAACGTGCGGCAGACGTGATAAAGGTGAAAAATAATTGCACACGCACGTCCCGCGCACACGAGAATTTTTACGTGGACAGCGTCGCTGATGATGACAATACTGTGGTCGACTTCAACAAATGACGCATGATCACCAGTCCCGCTCGGCCTTTTCGACGTCCGCGCGGCAGTAGACCTTGGTCATGGTCGCCGGGCGGACAGAAATCCGCAGGTGGGCGGGCATCACGTCTTCGTCCTTGCGCTTGAAGCAGAGGCAGAGCGTCGTGCAGCTGCCGAGTGCCTAGTGCCAGTATGTCGTTATCAACACAACTCGCGATAGAACGACGCATGCCCACCGGTAAAATGAGCATTGCGAGGACGACAATACAGATTGTCTGCAGCTACGCATCGATGGACACGATGAGCCGATGAGCCCGAGGTAGCGGGCAGCACCGTCGCGGCGTGGTACCTGTGCAGCGCGCTCGCACAGCTACCAAGGCGTGCACATGTGACGGGCGCAAAAGATACCGCACTGTACCCTTTGGAATAGAGGCCTGCCCCGTTGACGCCGCAGCTTCCGATCGGTTGGTCAAAGTCACACGCGCCGCCGGCGTAGCACAGGCGTGTCGTGGGGTACTTGTCCGGCTAGAGACATACATGTATCGATCCGTCTTTACACACATTGCAGGTACGTCGATCGCGGCACAGACTTGGCGAGGGGTGCTCTCGGATGACGTCAATGGCGCGGTATCGTTCTACGCGGCGGCTTCGTATGGCGCGTGCCGGCACAAAAGAGACGAAGTACGACGCAGTGGTTGGGCGGGCCAAAGCCGCAGCAGATATGCGTGTCCTGCAAGTCTTGGATGTTCTATATTAGCGTCGCGGTGTCCGTGTTGAACTATCCATTTCGGAGAGCGGTAATACCATTGCAACCGTGGGGTCGACGAGGTTGTCGCTGTAGTAGGACCGCCACGCCGCGCGTAAGTCGTTGTACATCTCGCTCTACTTGGTAATGACGTTGCGTCGATGGCCGCAAGATCGTCCGACCTGGAAGTATGCCGCGCAGGCTTGCGCGTTGGTCGCGTTGCGCACGTACGACTAGTGCCAACGTAGCGTCAGCCAATAGGAGGCAGGAAACGAGACAGACATTGGTCAAACACTTGTCCTGGACGTCGTAGGGGTAATCTGGCACCGACGTTTGCAGCCCCGAGTAGGCGATGAGCGACTGAAACGCCATCTACGAGCTGCGTCGTGTTGCGCAAGAAGAAGAAGAAGAAGGGGCGTACGAACGCCGCGAGCCCGCCGAGGTGCTAGAAGGCATATACGTGAGGTCAAAGGGCGTGCATTCCAAGGCGGCATAGAGGACCAGGAGCAGGATAAACTTGTTGTGGTGCTTCCCGCCGCAGTAGGCAAAGACAGCCATCGCCGCGTAGCTAATGCCCACAAAGATAAACCCTATCACGCATTCGGACTCGCTTCAAGAGGCAAGCATGGACCTCCTGCGACGCTGGTAAAGCGCGAGCCAAGTGCCAAGCGATAGTGAGTCGACTGCACCATGCCAATGCCCATGAAGAAGAGAAGGAGCGAGAGCACCTATCCCACGCATCAAGCATCAACGTGCAGGTCATCGACACGCGTTCGTACGCTCTCGCAAAAGCACGCGGCGTACATGTTGCGCACCAAGTTGGCCTTGGCGAACATGACGCTTGCGTCGCCGCCTTTCTAGGCCGACCGTTTCTCGCAGCATGCGGGCATGGCGTCCGTCGCCCCTCTCGCTCTTTTCCTGCATAGACCTTCTGGATATATGGGCCTCTACTAGTTCGCGCTATGGCGCATGCTCTCGTGCTCGTGCTCGCGTTCACAATGCGTCGTAGCGCATGCTGCTTCATATAGGTAGTACTGCGTTGCTCTGGCTCGTTCACCTCGACCTGCGCCGACTATCTCGGCCTGCGAGGCAAAGCCACCATCCTCTCTGTGGAGCAACAGACGTAGGTGATGCGCTAGAAGTGTCCGACATGTACTCAACGTCGGCGCACCCGCTGAACCATCATGAAGCGACGTGGCTGCCATCGGCGCATGGTGTTCGAGCCATGCATCGAGCGAACGGCCGTGCTTGCACCGTCGCGTCGCGTCACGTGGCGTAATGCCATGGACCTCTTCATATGTACATGCTATCATGCTAGGTCTACCTGGGCTTCATCGTCCATGGTCGCGCGCGCATGAGGCTGGGCTTGGCGTGTCGAGCACTCGGCGAAATCTGGCAGCTCGTGGGGTCGTGATTCCGGATAATCCATCCGGCTCACGTATCCGGTCTCGGCTGTATTCGCGGCATGTATTCTATATACGACTTGTTTGTATGTCTTGCCTGTATTTTAATCTGTGTCCGGATACGGGTCGCGACCTGCTGGAATGCATGTGATTTTAATACAATGATGAAACAAGTGCAATTATCCTTGCTTTTATTCGAGACTTTGTATGCAATTACCCAACAAAGTACACGAAAGTTGGTATAAAAATATGCAACGCGCGTATGCGTTGTCAGAGGTTTTATCGCGCTACAGAGGTTTGGATGGCCAGGGAAGTGATTGGTTTGGAACCAGTCAAGTGGGCTCGCTTGGTTTTTGCCGTTGGCTCAATCTCAGTATCACTCACTCAATTGATTCAGCAGTAGGTATGATCCTCCGCGCCTTGCTCCTTGGTTGGTCGTCGCTCATGCGCTCATTTCTTAGAGAATAAAATGGTCGCTTCGGAAGCTCAGCCGACCCGCTTGTATGTGAAGGGTGTTTTCATGGGCTACATGCGTGGCTTCACCAACCAGCACGCCCACACGTCGCTCATCCAGATCCAGGGCCTCCAGGACCGCAAGGATGTCGACTTCTACCTCGGCAAGCGCATCGCGTACATCTACAAGGCCAAGACCTTGAAGAACGACAGCAAGTTCCGCGTCATCTGGGGCAAGGTCATGCGCGCCCACGGCCAGAACGGCGTCGTCCGCGCCAAGTTCCGCAAGAACCTCCCCGCCGCCGCCATGGGCAAGCAGGTCCGCGTCATGCTCTACCCGTCGCGTGTCTAAACGGATCATCGCTGCGATTGTTGGTCGATTTTCTGCTCCGCGTGCGTGATTGCCACGCCCTGGCGAGAACGTACGTGCCAGAACAATTAATAAAGAGTGGGTTCCGAAATAAGTACTACTACCATTGAACTGCTGCGACGAGTGTGTCTCCCTCTTCTCTCCTGCCGCACTTGACACCCGTACAACGACGACACCCTTGAATCGATATATCGGTGCGGCGGCTTCCACGAGCATCTGACCAGCATCCTTGCGGTCGAGCCGTCGCAGCGGCCTTCGCCGGCTCCTGCAGTCTCCACCAAGCGCCTGTAAGCTCTGGCAATAAGCCCCGGCTGGTTGAAGCTGAAGGGCAAACTCGGCACCGGATCTATTTTTAGATCGACCTGATTGCATGCTCTGCGAAGACCTCTTTGCCAAGCGCGTGGTCACGGTCGGCGTCAAGGTCGGCTGTCTCCTCCTCGGTGTACGTAACGACGCGGTGGTCCTCTGTCTACTACGGCGTGCACAGGTCCTTGCGGTCCTTCTCTTCTTCCTCGGCATCGGGCTCATTGTCTCGCACCACACGCAGCTCGCGCTCGGGTCCCAAATTGGCAGCTCTGGCGGCGGTACATATTCCAGTCGAAAGTCGCTCGATATCGTGACAATCCTGTCTGGGATTAGCGCTCATCTTCTTGGCGTGTCTGTACCCGATTCCTGCTGCCGCGGGCTACTATGGCGCCAAACACCACAACAAATTCCTGCTGCTCATGGTAGTACTTTGCGATCCATGCGCAATGTTTCTCAAGGGCTGATAGCAAGCGTTCGGGCTCGGCGGGCTCATGAGCCTTCACTTTATGATTGGCGGCGCCATCTACGGCACGACCGTCCCCTCGATCTCGTACGACGAGCAAAACTACTGCCTCGTCAACGTACCACTCATGCCTCCATCCACGTTGACCGAGTGAGGGCGTGTATTAGATCCACATGCAAAACAACGTGACACGGGCCAAGTGCATGACGTACTTCCAGGTACTACTTGTGCAAGCATGATGACGATAATGGCGACGACCGTGCCCAGAGCGACGACTATGCTGGCCTGAGCCTCGCCTGGCAAACGTACTTTAACGAAAGCGTCGTCGACAACACGGCAGCCTCGGTGCGAAAGCGTGCCTGTTCACATTCATATCACATAGTACCGTAGGCGCTCGTCGAGCTGCAAGCAACCAGCTTTTGCTGCGGCCTCGGACCGCCGGCCAACTGCATTCCCAACGAAAACCGGTTCCCAACCAAGTTTCCCGGACCTCCCAACGTTCCTCAAACAGTCTGCGTCAACTCCAAGAGCGTGGTCTCGGCAGCTGCAATCTACACGTTCCCTCGCTCACTCTTCAAATATGTAGAGCCAATATTACCCGATAACGCCGCTCTGCTATCGCAACCAAGCGTGCCCATACGACCATCCGATCGGGAGCTGCGGCGTCACGGCGGTGTCGCCCGGCTCCATCGGGTACGACGACGATAGACCATGTCATTTCATTGACACTACTAGTTGCGCTGCGGCCTTCCACCAGTACATGGCGCGGCCGGTACGAGTGCGATTTAGCGACTGTCTTGACTGCAACAGACGGCGTAGGTTATGGTCATCGGGGGCTCTGTCTTGGTCGCGACCTTGCTTTTGGTACGTGTCGGTTTGCGTGCACGCTTCCACTGTAAACGCAGGTGCTATGTCTCTGTACGACGCTCGTTTTGCTATGGAAGCGCAAGGATGAAGACACGCTGCCACCGGTCGGCTACGGCGGGTGGCGAGCATCGGCCAAAGTCTACTTGGCCTCGGATGTCCGCAAGCTGGATCGCCTTGATATTTAAATGGATCGATTGCTAAATTAACTAGAGCACGAACCTAGTACCTAATACGTCGGTAGAGGGGTTGTGCTGCGGCTCGGTGGCGGCGACTCATCTGGCGGCCGCCAAAACGGTGCCGGGCCGCTGAGGCATTTGGACAGCTTTTTCGGCTGCCGCCGCTTCTCGACGGACAGTGCCCCGCTGGATTTTGGTCGATGCTTGGGCATCGCTAGCTCCACTACCCGCGCGCTCGCCTCACGAACGTCGTTGAGCTCCTTGCGCGGTCGACTGCTGCGGTGGCGCCGAGCCTCATCTAGCGTTTGGTACATGGTGCAGCAGTCAGCGCAGACGCGGACGCTGTTGTAGAGATCCTCCATGGGCAGTGTGGTCTCCAGCGCGGGTCCTAGAACCAGTCACTTGGTGAACAAGCGATCCAACGGCGTCGCAAACCTACCGTGATTGGAAAACCACTGGAGCTCTTCTAGCACCGTGTTGCGTCGCGAAAGGAGCTTCTCAATGGTTTCAATCTTCTCGATCGACGAATACGACTGGGCGAGGGCCACCACAAGTGCTTGGTTGGTGGCGCCCGACTGATACCTTGTCGTTGTGCCTTGGGCGCGCATGAGCAGGTGCGACTCGTGGTCCGCCCACACTATGGACTACTCCCGTCCAATATAGCATAAATCTACCCCGATATTGGAGTCGAGAGGCGTACCTTTTTGGCCACAGCGTACGTCGTCTCGTCGTCACCGTTGGGACAAGAACCCGGTGGATGCTCCATACAAAAGGCGCCCGGACACGAGAAGAGCCGTCGAGGCTAGTGCATGAAGAAGTCGTATGTTGGGCTCAGTGCCAGGATGGCTCGTACCGAGACGACGGGCTTGGACGCGAGCGCTTTTGCCGTTCCTTGGGGTGGGTTGCGGACGTCCGAAGCATAGACAATCTAGCGATTGCGTTAACTGGCATATAGGGTTCGTCATCGCACCTCGGCAACGCGCACAAGGACAAGGTCGTCGCTGGCCGTCAGGACAAAGTCGGTTTGGATGTGGACAACTTGGTGCGATGACGACGCCTACGTCATCGTTCATCCCGCTTCAAAATACAACCATAGCTAAAACATAGCAAAAGGCACAAGAATTTTGTGTGACAGTCGGACCTCGATCGCGTGGACGACGCGCATGGTCAGCTCTTGCACCAATTGGTTGCAAGGCGACGCGAGCTCCTTGACGCAGTGCAGCATGTGATGCTCGAGCGGGAATTGAAGCCCCTTCTCATCTGGTGTCCTACAGCCCAAAAGAGTTCGATTCGATCTTGGACGTATTCGTCGCGTACAGCTCCGTGCCAAAAAAGAACTGCGGCGGGCGGTAAAAGCGAACATAGGTCTGGAGACGCGTCGCCGCGCGGCTGAAGCGGCACGCGTGCGTCGCACTCGCAGGCCCAAACTAGTGCATCGTCGATCGTCGTGTCCTGACAACTCGAAACACGCACCTTGCCAGCGACGTGGCGCGTCACGAAGCGCGTCACCATCCACTCGCGCGCGTTCGGGTTGCACAAAGTCGCGTTGAACTCCAAGTCGTGCAGGATGCGGAAGGTCGTCTCGCCATTCTCGCGCACCTGCGATGCAAGTCGCGTCAATCGCAAAAGAGACTACCTACTTGGTGCAGAAGAGCGAGCTTCCGGCTTACGTTGGACTCGAGACGGAGACACGACTTGACAAACGCGCGCTTGATCGGGATGCGGTGCAGGTCCGCGCTGCTTTTCGCGACGACACCCTACGTACTCTCTGCTGACATTCCACTTGTGGGCCGCCATGTACGTGGTCGCGGTAGCCTGTAAACCAGCGCACGACCTCGCCGTTCTCGACGACGAGCGTGTCGGCAAGGTCCAGCGCCGCGCTAGTCGCATGTTATTATCTTCCTCATGCCAGCACGAACGTGGCTCTACCGAGCAGTACAAAGGTGCTCGAGCGTCCTACACATGGCCATGCAAGATAGTTGAACACTATGGAAAGCAGTGTTCTACTCTGCAAAGCGGCGGCGTTGGAGGTCGTGGTCCTTGGAGAGGCGTTGCACGATGCGTGCTTGCGTATCGTGCATGCGAATGCGTTAAAATAGAATGTGGAAACCGGCTTGTCCGATGGACACTGCTGCACTGTGCAAATGTGTACAAATTAGCGCTAGGAATCATAGATATCTCTATTCTTTATACATGTTATTCTTATAAGCAGAGCGTACGGCGTTTCTTGGACGAGACCTTTTTGGCCTTGCCCTTGGCCTTGCGCGGCTGCGGCGGCGGGACCTTGGGCTTCTTGGCCTTGGGCTGGACATCGCGAACCGGCGCGACCTTGACGTCCCGCATGAGCTGGATGAGCTCCTTCGGGACGTCCATGTCGGCGGCCTTGAGCATCGCCGGAATCTTGCGCGCAAAGGTGATGTCATAGGCGGTCAGTAGCGTCACGGCCACACCGCGCTCGCCGGCGCGGCCCGTGCGACCGACGCGGTGCACGAACGTCTCGATGCTCTCGGGCACGTCATAGTTGACGACGAGGCCGACGTCCTTGACGTCCAAACCGCGCGCCGCAACATCGGTGGCAAAGAGCGTCATGACCGTGCCCTTCTTGAAGGCATTCATGGTCATTGTGCGCTCGCTCTGGAGCTTGTCGCCGTGCACGCACCCCACCGTCGGGTCGGCGTAGAACGTCGCGAGCTTGTCGCACTCGACCTTGGTGCGGCAAAATACGATTGCCTTCATCGACGCGTCAATGTCGAGCGCTTGCTTGAGCTTGGCCATCTTGTCGGCTTCGGATGTGCAGATGAGAAAGTGCTGCGCAATGTCGCGGTTGAGCTGCGGCGACGACGTCGACCCGATCGTCACGTGGACAGGCAAGGTCATGTAGTTGGCAGCCAGCGTCTGCATCGCGACGGGCCACGTCGCACTGAAGAGCAGCGTCTGGCGCGTCGACGGCAGGAGCTTCATGAGGTGGCGGATCTGGTCTTCAAATCCGAGCTCCAGCATCTTGTCGGCTTCGTCGAGGACCACGATTTCGACCTTGTCCAAGCCAAGGTGGCCACTGCTCACAAAGTCTCGCAGCCGACCGGGCGTCGCGACAAGCACGTCGACGCCGTGGAGGTCGAGCGCCTCGACCTGCTCCTTCGTGGACGCACCACCAAAGATGCACACGATGCGCAGCGGGTACGGCTTGAGCAGCTTCTTCGCTTCGCTCTGGATCTGCATGGCGAGCTCGCGTGTCGGCACGAGGATCACGAGGCGCGGGTCTTTGGGCTTGACCGCGAACGCATACTTCTTCTTCGTGCGCTGCACGTGCTTCTTGGGCGCCGTGAGCGCGTGGAACGACGGCAGAAGGTACGCGAGCGTCTTACCAGACCCGGTCTTGGCGATCGAAATCAAATCTTGTTTGGCGAGCACGATGGGCCACGACTGCGCTTGCGTCGGGGTCGGCGTGCCAAAGCCACTCGAAGTCAAATGCGCCACCGCCGCCGATGAGAACGGCGTCGACTCGAGCGCACGCATGGCGGCAGGCGCTTTGTACTCGACGCCCGGCCCCACGATCGAGATGTGCTGCTGCTGCTGCCAGCGGGCGTTCGCATCCAGCGGCCCAGCGTTCGATGCGACAACTTCAAAGCCATCTTCGTCGTCATTATCCGAGGCGGCGGTGTCGCTCTCATGGGCGGCTGGGGCGACCTCGAAGCTGCTGTCGTCGCTCTCGCTGCCGGGCGCGTCGACGGCTTTGCGCTTGCCTGCCATCTCGCTGCCACCCGAAAAAAGGTTGTTTGATACGCTTCCTCGCATCTGATTGGCTATTGCACGCGAACCAATCACCGCACAGATGGCAATCGACCAATCATCACCGAAACCGTTTTCAAGTGCACATAAACGACTTTTTCCAGCCAATCCCAGAACGACCGTGAGGCGTTTCTTGTATCCGACAGGTTTCGAATCTTTGCGATGGACGACGCCAACCTGGCACCGGCCATGGCAGACCTCGAGCAGCTCTACTTGCTGGGCAAAGGCGGCTGTGGCCGGTAGTTACCTCTTGCATGGCACAGCTAGTGACTTGCTACTAGGGTCTACAAGTGCAGAGACAGGCGAACAGGCCACGACTTTGGTACGAACGTCGTCCTCTTAACTCGTCCGTGCCAATGAGCCGCGCAACTAGCTGTAAAAGAAATCGAAATCGCCGGTCGCGAAGACCGCTGCAAGCTCGAAGCCGACGCCATGGGTCCGCTCCTCGTGCGTTCTGTGCGCTCGGCGACCACGATGACGCTCGTCATGCGCTACTTGCCTGGCGAGCCGCTCTACAAGTGTCTCTGGAGCTGCACGCGTTTCTCGGAAGGCTTTGCCAAAGCCTGCGCCGCTCAAATCGCAGCAGCTATCGTCGAGCTACACGGTCGCGGCTACATGCACCGCGACATCAAGAGCGGCAACGTGCTCTTGACGCGCGATGGCCACTGCCACCTCGTCGACTTTGGCCTCGCCGCCCCGTCCGCCACACGTGCCACTGCCAAGTGCGGCACGCACTACACCATGGCACCCGAGATCTTTGTTGGCGACGGCTACGATGCTGCGGTCGATTGGTGGTGGGTCTTTTCCTTCATTTTTCCTTTTCACTTTGGTCCTTCTAGGGCGTTTGGTGTCCTCTTGTTTGAGATGGTTCACGGGGCACCACCATGGCCGTACAAGAGCGACGGAAGCGCGCTACCCGCGTACGCTGCTCGCATGCGCGCGACGGCCGCGCACCTCCCGTGGACGAGCGACGTGCCTGTCAGCGCCGATCTCCAGCATTTGATATCGTACGCTCTAATACCTTGTTCTACCTCGCAATGTAATTCTGTATGCTAGAGGCTTACTGCAAGTGGATCCAGCCATGCGCTTGGGCCCCTCGATTCAATCGCATCCGTGGTTTCAGGACGTGGTCTGGGCGGTACACGCCGCTACCCTAAACCTAGCCTACCCCTAATGCAGATTGCCTGTAGGAGCATCTCGCGGCGTCAGGCCCGGAGCTCACGATGGGGTTCCAGCAGGTCGATGGCGCGCAGCAAGGCGTCGACAGCGCCGAGAGCATCACGTCGGCTGAGAACTTGCAGTTTGCGGGCTTTTAGGGTATAATCGCATGGCAGTAGAGTTGAGTTGAGATAGACAAAAAACGAGATCTTAGTTGTTCCAGCTCAGGTCGACGCCGCGATGGCCAAGGTACTTGCGGATGAGCGTGTACGTGACAAATGGAAAGAGCACGCAGAAACCAAAGATGCTCCAAAAGTAGTAGTCGGCCTCTTCGATCGACGAGCTGAGGTTCATGCCAAAGCTTCCGACGATGAACGTCGGGATAGCCATGAGCGTCGTGCACAGCGTCAGCGTCAAATCGACCGTGAGCAAGTAGTTTCGCTTCGTGTCGAGCTTGAGCATCACCATCGACTCGGTCGTCTGAATGTTGCTCAAGAGCAGTGCGATCCGCGACTGCGTCCCATAAATGTCCTACCAACCGCGTAATTACTGTACAAAAAGCAAGGAAATCATACCTGGAGGTACACTTCGAGGAGCGACTCGGCGTCTTCTGCATCAAAGCTCATCACGTCCATCCCAGGCGACGCATGCAGCTTGGTCAAGTACAACATGTGCACGTCTTCGTCCGTCTCGAGGAGTTCCATGAGCGCTCGCCGGATGCCATTCACCTACGACGAAGACGATAGGCAACGCAAAGATGCAAACACTGCTAATACCTGCGCCTCAAGCTCGTGGAGCGAGTTCTTGATGTACCGGAGCGCCTCAAGCTCGGTCGTGACCAGTCCGTGCTTGAGCATCTTGTCGACGACCGCGGTTGCTTGGGGCGCGATCTTGGCCGCCGCGCTCGCGACGAGCCTACACCAAGCTCAAACGTTGCACACGTCTAGCGATTCTACATACTTGCAGATGGTCGCAAGGACCGCTTCGAGCGCGCTAGCACAATTGATACGTTCGACGACCTCAAACTCAATCTCAAAAACGTACGCAAACTCGAACGCCATGGCGTCGGCATTGACGTGCTCTTGAAAATTCGTTTTGAGCAGCGACACGAGGCTGTCGGCGCCGTCGGGCAGGAAGACGAAGCACGCATCGCGCAGGATGACGACGCGCAGCGGATCTATCGTGTCGTTTAAGGTGTAGACTGAAATCATGGAGAATATTGTCGTGCGGATTACCGGCATTGAGCAAAATGGCCTGGCGACGCATCGTGAACGACGGCTCGACCGCGATCGCAAACGCATTGTCGAGCTTGCGGATATCGCGCATGTGAATGGCCTAGGCACAGGATGGTGCTCAGCCTCGGTACCACCAACCATTTTTCTACTGGAATCTCAGTCGCCAGCGACCCCTGGCGCTCAATGCTCTACGCCAAATCGTCTCGATGAGCGCTGAAACAAGGCCAAGATACGCACACAGTGGCCGCGCGCCGCTTCCTGGACGGTCTTGTAGACGTCTTGGCGGCTCAGCTCGACAAAGCTCGAGCTGCCCGTCGCGTCAAAGCGGAGCGCCTACGCAGTATTCGTGCAGAAATCGAGGCAAGGACAGAAAGGACGGACGAGGCGCTTGCCGTGGATCGACGTCGCGGCCGAGCTCTCGTACGTGAGGTCGTACGGCCGCGCGAGGAGCGCTTCCGGCGCCAAGTAGACGTCGAGGGACTTGGCCATTTTCGCAACTGGCACAAAGCTGCTGAAACATGAGCCACCATATGGTATTCCACCGCGTGCGCCAGGCCCTTTTTTGAGTCCGTGGCGCGAGACGGTGGGCGCTAGTACCGGTAGCTAGTAGTACGAGCTGGCGCGACGATGGTGCGCTGGACAGGCAGCATTACTACAGAGAGTGCAAGCCGCCAGGAGGCCATTTGCCAGTGTCGAGCAGGCAGGATGGCTGCTGTCGTGGCGGCGGAGGTGCAGGGCTGGTGATGTCGTGGAGGTGGATAGTTCGGGACCTCGTGGGACGGGCGATGACGTGGTCTGCAGCCACGCCATCAAGCACGCGTTTCGAGAGTTTATAGAATGGACGACATGTCTAACAAAAAGTTCTAGTTCATGATACGAGTCTAACTTAGTTTGAGAAAGAATGATAGACGATATTTCACGTAGATCGAAGGCCTGTTGGAGCAGCCATCTTGCGCTGCGCGTATAAATAGCGCACTTGGCAACGACATCTCATGGCGTCGACCGTCGAAGCGCTCAAGACGAAGCTCAGCAGCGTGCTGCCGACGCCCAACAAGACCCCGGACGTCGCCTTTGAGTCGCTCACCGAGGCATCGGATGGCGACAGTGTCGAGGCGCCGCCAGTGCCGGCCCCGAGCCCCGAGTCGTCCCTGCTTCAAATCAAGTTTGAGCGCGTCGGGCTCTTGCTTCAGGTCGTCGGTGCGTGCTGCGTCACGTTGGTGGCAGGTGCGTCATCATCGTCATTTGCTCTGTGGATCTATCCCAAACGGCGTGGACTAGGCATGACCAAGCACGGTGCCACGTCCACGCCCGTCGACACGATGGTGTTTTGGCAGTCCTTTCTGAGCATGGCCGTCGGCGTGGTAGCGATATGACAATATTTTTGTGTTTTTACGATGACACAATATTGTCTAGGCGCTGCAAAACCATTTTCGGCTGCCCATTCTGGACATTGATGGCATTAGCCGCTCGCACGTGTTTGCACTTGGCGGTCTTCAGTACCTCGTCTGCGCCGTCTCGAGCTATGCGTATGCGACGTTTGAGCTCACGGACGCAACGATCCTCCTCCTCGCGTCGAGTCTGCTCACGGGCCTCGTGGTGCGTCATTCACCTTCATTTTTGAGATTTTTTGCGTCTTTGACATTGAGTTCTGTCCTTTTTGACATTGAATTTGACAGGCAACCAAAGTGCTTGTGCAGCACGTGCATGACCGTCGGGACATGGTGTGCAGCGCCGGCGCGCTCCTCGCCCTTGTCTTTGTGCAGGCACCGGACGCCGCGCATGAATTCTCGTGGGCGATCGGTGGTGCCTGCGGTCTCGGGCTGTACTACGGCGTGCTCTTCAAGCTCCACGAAGCGCCGATGCTCTCTGTCTACTCGCACATGAGCGCTGTGAGCTGCGGCCTTGCGCTGCTCAAATTGCTCTTGTTTAGCTCGGTACGTCGTCGTCGCGCCACCTCGGCCTTGCTACAACCCATTGTGTAGGACCATATTTTCGAAGGCCACGGCGTGCTGCTGGGGCTCATGGGCATTCTCCGGGCGCTCGGACAGCTCGCGCTGCTCCGCGGCTACCAGTTTGAACGTAACCCGATCGCGGCCGCCATGGTCTTCTTCAAAGTCGCATGGACCATCCTCTTGGACTCGATCATGGTCGACGTGATCCACATGCACACAATGATGGGCTGCCTCGTGCTCTGCGTCGCAACTGGCATTCTCCTCGGAAAGCGACCACTAGGGCCACCACTGCCAGCCGCCCCCGTTGCAAGCTCCTAAGAAGCTCTTGATACACGTCGAGTGCACTCTATCGTTCGTGGCTTTCACTAGATGTTGATGGCACAACTGCACTACAGACGGCGTCGTTCAGTGGACGACGAGCTGGATGTTAGGAGGTTGAAGGTCCTCGCAATACCAGCGAACAGGACCAGTGAACAGTACCATTCGCAGGGTGCATTTGGTGCCGGGATCGAACCCATGTCTGGAGGGGCCAACTAGTGGTGTTGCCAGCAACCTCGACTGTATAAAATCCTAATTCTCTATGGTTGGGGCGCGTGTCGCACATGCGTGAGAAGGGAAAGGACGAGCATTCGTTTCACTTCTCCAAGGATACGACCATTGAAACGCTAGAGTTCTGACTCCGTTTCGAGACTTCAATCCACGCGATATGCCGACCTCGGCCATCGTGCACCCCGACACCGACGCCGAGCCCCTCTTGCTCGCGACCGACGGCATACAGCAGGAGAGCAAGCCCCTTCGCGTTCTTCGGCGCCTCGCCAAGCGGCGTCAAGCCCTCCGCGAGAGGTATGGCAAGTTCTTTGGCTTTGGCATGATCATCGGCGGCAATGTTGCGCTGAGTCTCATGTCGGTACGTCCTCAGTGTGTTGCAACACAAGGACTTCCGATGGGACTGCGTAGGTGCTCATCAAGTTTTCGTCGCGCTTTCTCTACGCGGATGAGATTGTGTTTTGGCGGTCGTCGACCGCACTCGTTATGAACGTGGTACATAACGTTTTCATTTTATATAGTCACTATCCACTACGATCATAGGCCGTCCAGCTCTACCTCCAAATCCCAATTCTGGCGGTCGACCCGGCCTTGATGAAGCTTTTGAGCATTCGCGTTGCTATTGGCTACACGGCCATGACCATGTCCTTTTACGCCTACTCGAAAATGGTGCTTTCCGAGGCGTCCGTCATCATCTTCACGGCGCCCATCATCACGTGTGTGCTGGTACGTTCACTTGTAAAATTGATGAAAAATTGATGAAAATTGATGAAAAATTGATGGAAAAATGACAAAAATGGCTATGAAATAGAGTGTCTGTCTCCTTGGCGAAAAGATCGACGTCGTCGGCGTTCTCTGCGTCTTGGTGTCGTTTGCCGGTGTCATTTGCGTGGCGCGACCGGCGTTTGTCTTTGGCATTCACGCCACCTCGTCCGAGGCACCGCCGCTTGCGATGCTCTGCGCTGTGCTAACCGCCGTATGCGTTGGCCTCATCAACATCATCATTCGCATGCTCCAGAGCATGAACACGTGGACGCTCGTGACATATTTTTTGCTCACGTGCACGCTCGGGTCGCTGACAAAAATTGCGCTTTTTGGAACGGTGCGAGGACAACTTGTCTTATGTGTGTGCGACACTATAGTTGAAGCGACTAGGGACTGTACGTGCCGCAAACCACTGACGAGGCGGGGATTGTACTTGCGATCGGCTTTTTCGGCTGCATCGGTCAGCTCATGATCACAAAGGGACTCCAAATCGAAAAGGCCGGCATTGCCTCTGTGCTGCAGTACCTCAACTTGCTCTGCGTGATGCTATGGGACGTGACGCTGCTCGGCGAAGCACTTCATATGTGGAGCATCCTCGGCGCGTCGATCATTTGCCTCAGTGCGTCGGTGATTGCCTATCGCAAGGCAAAAGCATAATTCGTACCAATATACACCTCGCAGTTCATAATTTGAAAGTTTTTTCTAGCAATCGAATGTTAAATGAAAGACTTTATTGCCTTTTTGGCGCCAAGTAAAATTTGTGATGGATCATAGAAAAGCAAGATGAATTATTCCAAAGGGAGCGCATGCATTGATTTTGTTCTTCTCGCGAAGCGTCACAACCGAGCTTTGGCGAGGCGGTGTCGTTGCGACAGTTTGTTGGGACTTGAAGCGTGGGCTGCATTACCACCGTCTCGTCCTTGCGCGCACGATTCGTCTGCTGTTGGGAGCGGTCCCGTTGTTGTGCGTGCTACGTACGCGTTCCAAAGTGCATTTCAACGATCAGTAAAGGCGTACTCGGATGCAGTGAAAAAGGTAAAACGCGCTTGGAGATCTGCGACCGCCGGCTCTTCTTCCATCGGGCTGGGATGCGCCATCGCAGCGCTCGACCCGCCAAAGCTAAAGTAATTTTGTGTTGTAGGAGGCTCCTGCAAAAGGTTAGTTGTCAATTTAGAAATGGGAATTGATTGGTACCGACCTCGTTGGTTTGGTGTCGGTTGGTGCAAACGTCGTTTGCACCTCGCGAGTTCTTAGTGGCGTTGTCACACGTAGAACCTCGCTGCTTGAAAACATTGGTTTCATGTGGTGATGGCGTTTGGCTGCGTCACCTCGGGCCTCGGGGCGGTCGTAGGGTTAGGGTTCACGGAGGCTCCCAAATTTCGAAGTCGCTGCGCAATGGAATGGTGTCCTTGACCCGACGCTAAAAGCAATGCGGTGCGGCCATTCTACAGTCAGGTGTCCACCAATGCAGCGACCCACACATCCTGCGTACGCTGTCACACAGATAGACGTTGGCGCGCGCGTCGAGCAGACGTTGAACGATGCCTTCATGACCGTTGGCGCTCGCTAGCATGAGCGCCGCTTTGTCATTCTACAGAGGTTTCAGAGCGGACCGTATGACCAAAGTCGTACGCGATCGAGAACATTGACTTTGGCATCGGAGTTGAGAAGCCACTTGACGGCGATTTCGTGTCCGTTCATGGCTGCCATCATGAGCGGTGTCTTGCCGTCCTACACATTGCGGAATCAACGGGCCACCTGCTAGAAACAGCCGCGTACACGATCGCAGACGTT